TTGATTAGCATCTACGTGTAATAGATTATAAGCTTTAGATAGTCTCAAACTCGAGGCAATTGGTCATTCGTTTAATGGAGAAGCAACAATTTGTTACTTCTTATTTTGATGCATTGCACATTATAAACGATTTTTCAAACATATACACCATTTTTCATGAATGAGGTGTTGTTTTTAAAGTATAATTTTTTCATTATTTCCACATATACCAACCAAGAATTAATATTATTGTAAGACCCACTAATTTTTAATTTATTGTCTTCACTTTATTGGTACCAAACACACCAACTCATTTTCACTTATTTATCTTAATTTGTTCTCTTTTTCTTATTTTCTATATGTATTTATTTGATACAAGATAGATCGTAAATAAAAGTTGAGAATAGATAAATGAATGGAAAAATATAGTTTTATATTAATTATTTTTAATAGATAATTCGATAAAAGAGAATGAAAAAAATCTTATCTAAATTTTTTTTCTCGAATAAGGAGAAATGACGAATTAAATGATAAAAACATAGACACTTTAAATTACAAATTTAACATTATTATTATTATTATTATTATTATTATTATTATTATTATTATCTATTTTTCACAAAATCTATTATATGCAATTACTTAAGTTCTTATTATGTTATAATGGATTCAATAAATATCAAAATCCATTTACTTTTTTTCATCTCATTTTCTTCTATCTTTTTTTCATATCATTTATGATATTTGTCACTTTCTTTCTATTTATAGCACAACGTCTCTCGCAGTATATGTCAACATACAAATAAAAGTGAATTTATGAAACGATGAAAAGCATATTTTATCAATTACATCAACTCTTAATATGAATTACTCACCTTAATTGCCAAATGTTTCCATAATTTACTATCAAGTGGGTTTATCTGATAATAAAATCAATATTTTAAATTAAAGTTATATATATATATATAAAAGATTAGCAACCTTGTTAAAAATGACTAATCAAGTTCATCCATCAAGATTAGTCATTAATGACAAGTAAATATTGCATATTAATAACACGGTTGAAAGAAGAAAAAAAGTTTCCATAATTTTAAGAAAATTAAAATATGTTTTTCGTTGTATATATAAAATTAAAAAAAAATAATTTTTTAATTATTGATAAAACATAATAATTAACAAAACTCATAGTGTTACAAAAAAATAATAATTATAAATATTAAGAACATAAAATGTAAATAAACTTTTTTACTGTAATTAAAATTAAAATTTATTTATTTTACTAAGTATGCATTACATTAAAAATATATTCATCATGACTAAGTATGCATTACATTAAATATGATAAACATATAATAAGACATATTTTAACAGATAATGTTAACGATCCTTTATGTATTTTTGTCACAAAATTATTGGTAATATATTAAAGATTTTTCCATTAAATCAAGATAATTATGCGTTAGGCACTACTTTTTATGAAGATGTTTTAACTGATACGTACCTTTAAGTTATTTTTTAATAAATTATATTAAAAATTAATAAAGGTTTTGTTTGGAGTTTCATTTGATGGATTTATGTTAAATAAATGACACAATTGCTTATGATGTTTAGTTATTAGACACAATCAAAATTATATCATCAATTTTGAATTTGTGATGGTGTTGAAACATATAAAGTTAAAAAAAAAATAAAAAAATCATACGAAGATGATACATATAATATTTAAAAGCTAACAACTAAAATTAATCTATATTAACTTGTGACAAGGCTTAAAAAGAAATAAATAAATAAAATTGTGCATACAAAAAATGTAAGATTTATAAATATAGTAATTAAAATGTAAAGTTTGGACAGACCAAAACATAAATGATATTTTCAAACAAGACACCTTAGCAAGCCAATAGCACAAAGTTGGACCCCACATTATCATGTCATATTTTTTTAAAAATGGTTTTATGTTACAATTGAAGATTAAAAGATTAAAAAAAAACATTATAAGGGCTATATCATAGAGATTCTAAATATATATAGAAACTAGAACACAGAATGTGAGCTAATATAGAAACCAAATAAACAATTTAAAAAAGTGTAAGTCAAGGATTCACGGCAAATGGTAAAATAAATGTGAACAGAAGATGCATTACAAATCCATTTTCAGCTAATTTTGACCATTGTAGGGTCAATTTACAAACATTTTAACAATATGAAATTGTTTTGAAATAATTGGCCAACGTAGGGAAATGGATGCTAAAAACGTTAGTCAAACTTGTGTTTTTTATACCATGTCATCTTTATTTCATGTAGAACATAGGTGATATTTAGGTTGACTGAATTTCTGTCATCTTTATTTCTAGTGCTAACGTTTTCGGTGCTAGTTTGTACTAAAATATAAACAAACTTAATAAATGGTTAAATTTGTTATAAATTAATTTTCTTAGAGCCTAATAAATATGTCAAAAAATAAACATCTCTTGTCTAATGCATGAACTCCACTGTCAAATCTCCAAAAGGCAATTATTTTGACTAATATTTTTTGTTTGACCAACATATGTATGTTGCGTGAAAATCTTTGAGACAAACACTAGTAATCAATACTAAAAGTCTTTAACAAAAGAAGAAGAAAAAATCAGTGTAAACTAACCACGTCATTCTCAAAAACTTTGCTAGTGCTAAGATTTTTCTCAAAGAAACAAAAAATTTCAATCAATCTAAATGTCATGTGTACTCTTTATATAATAAATGTTACATATGTTTAGAGTTATGAAAGTGAATAATTTAATCCGATTAATTATACGTTGGATAATAAGTGGATTGATTTAACTTAAGTTACCTTTTAGTAAAAAAATTTTAACCCACTCGAATTAATGAATTAATTGGATTGACTCTCTTAAATTAAAAAAAAACAACAAAATTTATTAAACTTTATAAGAAATATATATATTAGTCTTATATTTTAAAATTATAACTATGTAAAAAATAAGACATAAAATTGTAAAAAAAAATAGACATCATTCACAATTATCTTAATCAACTTATAATATTAAATAATATCAAATTAATATTAATTAATGATATCAAATTTAGCCAATAATTTTAATATTATTAATTAATGACATCAAAATTGATATTAATTATTATAATTTATAATTAATATGTACAAAATTTAGCTAATAATTTTAAATATATAATCATATAAATTAATATTTAAGAACTAAAAAAAAGAGTATATTAAGTAAACTAATCTATGAACCAACCTAACATGTCACGGATGGATCCATAATGAATCAGACAAAATATTTTTATAATTGAAGCAAACTAATTTTATTTACCTAACAAAACTTAAATTTATGGTAGATTAAGTTAACTCATGAGATTCATCTCATTGTGACCACAAAATCTTATTTTATCCTTGAAAAAATGAAATGTTTATAAAATAATATACAATGGTCAATTAACCTCCATTTTTTATTCTTTAACCAAATTAACCTCCAAATTTAGATTTCATAACTAGAATTGAGTGGTTAGATTACAATATTGTTATCATTTTAATTCAACCGAAATCGTCGAATTTATCTAATGAAAACCATTCAATACAATTAATTTATTATTATTATTTAGTTTGTTATGTCTGCTTGTATCTATATTTAGAAAGGTCCACATGCATTGAGTAAACAAAATATTTAACAAGTAAAATGGGTATTATTAGACCCACATGCAAGAGAAGATTAGGACTATAAAAAACTACAAACTTCTGTAAAGTAACATGTAACCATGCTTTTATCAAGGAGAGGAGAAAATAAAAACGAAATACCAATTAAAATTTATCATTATTAAACATGTTGAGGCAGTTACTTTGGTCAGGCAGGGTTGTATTGCATAATAATGATACACGTATTTGTACAATATATTGAAATATTATTTTATTGAAAAAGAATTAAGCTAAGATAACAGAGAGTATAAATAGCTGCATCCTTGTAATAAAATTCATTTTTTTTTAATTTTGATGGCGATTTTGCAATGATGCACAAGAATTTGATCGGCGTCATGGAACATTGATAAATTTAGACCAACAAGCTAGTTGGAGTGGACTTAAATTTTTTAAATAACATTTTTTAGACCAATAAAATAATTAAACAAATTTATATTTTTTTATTTATCAAAATTATAATGACATTAGAGTGAAGTAGATTTTAATAGTTAGAATTAAATAAATTTGAGAATATAACATTTGAAAAGAATAATAATTTTAAGAATTCAAAATGGAAAAGTTTAGATAAAATGCATAGTTTATATTATAGTCTCCTACTTAATAATAATAATAATAATAATAATAATAATAATAATAATAGTTGACTTTAGATACAGTTGGCTGTGGAACACAAGGGAGGAAAAAGTACATTTGTACCAACCAATTAAACCGATGTTCACGGGTAAAGACACTTTTGGTCTAATTAATTTAAAAAAAATAAAAAATTTAAATAAAATTAAATTCCAGACAAGTGTACGTTTGATTTAAAAAAAATACCACATTTAAGAATTCATTTACAAGGATAATGCGTCCAATTTAACAAAAAGTGGATTGAAATGAATTTAGCAAATATACAAGTATATATGGCCAACACATATTTTTTAATGCTATATTCAGATTGGTTCCCTCTTTCCGTAAGAAAAGTATTTAAAATTGGTTATTGTATATAAATAATCTTTAACATCAATGTCTACAAATTAACTGCTATAAATAACAAGCAAGCTTTACCTATATAAAATTGGAAGCGCAAAAAAGAACTAAATTAACAGTTTAGAAAATGAATGTAACAGAAGATTAGAAATGGAAGGTATGAGTCCACAATAGGAGAGTCACAATAAGCCAACTAATTAATTAATTAAGTAATTAATGTAGGTTTATATATCGAGGGTGTTTTGGGTAATTCACACAGGAATAAGATCCGCGCCTTGTCGGCATGTCATTATCGCTCAGATTTGTGATGGCGATTTCCAGTTTCCAGTTTTCTCTCTCCTCACTCTTCCCTCTTACAATTCTTAACGTTCCAATGCAGAAAAAGTACAACCAAACGATGCACTCAGAAAGACCCAGGTGGGTGAAAATATAAATAATAAATTCATTCCAGTTGCATGCTCGTCAAGAGTTGTATGCGGCAAGTGGGAGCTTTCAAAGTTTCAATTTTTCCGACACCAAGGTTGATTCATGCTTCATGCTTCATGCTTCTTGCTTCCTGGTTCAGACTTCACTCACTCTCCAACTCCACAATTCATACCAAAGCTCCAAACTTTGTAGTTGTTGTTTGAGTAGAAAGATTGGGTTTCTTGTGAAGCTATCATGGACTTGAAAAAGATTATAACTTGGGAAGGAGAAAGTGAGGCACAGTTGGTGTGAAAAGAAGATTATTAGCATTGCAAGGAATGAGCGAGAGAGAGACTGTGAGGGCTTGACTTGGCTGATGTACTATATTTGTGTGTTGTGTTGTGTGTGAAGTGGAAGGGAGACAACAGCGTATCTGGGAAAATCGTGAAAATTCGATTTAGTTTTGTTATAGCGAAGAAAAAAAAGTAAACAACAGAAAAGAAAAGTAGCCACACACAATAATAAAGGGTATAAAAAATAAACAAGTACATATAGAGAGAGAGAGAGAGTGAGAGAGAGAGAGAGGCACACACAGATCAAGACCAAACTGGTTCCAATTGTTCATTGTACATCCACCTTCTTCTCTTTCTTGTACAGACAGGTAAACAAGGTTTTTGTTTTTTTTTTTTCCTCTAAAGTCTCAACAACCCTCCCTTTTCATCTCTTTCTCTTTCTCATTGGGTTGTGTGCTTCGCTGTGTGTGTATGGTTTTTTGGGGGTCAATCTCTGGCTTTGATTATTAAATGGAGGAAAGAGGCTGAACGTGCTCTTCTTTGTCCTTAAGCAAGCACTAGTTTCACGCCTACTCAGCATGATTATTGATTTGAGTTCTCTTTCATTTTTTTATTCTGATCCTTAACTCTCAAAACTCTGTTGAAACACACTAATATTGACTGTTGGGGGAGGGCAAGGTGGTTCTTTGGAATTTGAGCTTTTTTTTTTTTACATCTTTTGAGACTCATGCTTGTCTCCCAATTTTTCTTCTTTTAAATTCTGGGTCTATTGTCTGAGATGTTTTTCTTTTTCTTTCTTTGGTGGTTTTTGAAATAAGCTTTCTTTAATAAGAGAAAATAAAGAAAAGAATTTGCCCATTTGGTCAATCATTCATGGTGCTTGGTTTGCTTTTGCTTCTTCTTTCTGAGTATTGAATTACGCAAAACAATGCTGCAATGATGCCATACATGGAGTTTTGTTCTGTGGCCTTTTTCTTCCAACTCGCAGAGAAAAGTGTCTAAGTTTTTGCGAGTACTTTCAACTTTAAGCAAAGTGAGGTCCTCCTATATAAGCACTAACCGCAATTATTTTTGGGGCTTCTTCCATCTCTCATAGATAATGAAGAGGGCAGAAAGATAAGGGAAGGGAGAAGTTGTTGGTGATGGGTCTTGGTTTGAAGATGAAGAGCCTGGGGCACCATCCTGTGACTTCGAAGTTACATGAGCAAGCAGGGAGCAATAGAAAGTACACTTTCATTCAGGCACATAGGGCATGGCTTCCCAAGTTTTTGATGCTGTGGATCCTTCTCATGGCTCTAATTGGTTGTTGCATCTATAGTGAAATGGATGCTGACACTAAAGTCCGAAGGAAAGAGGTGCTAGGTAGCCTCTGTGATCAAAGGGCAAGAATGCTGCAAGATCAATTCAGTGTTAGTGTCAACCATGTCCATGCCCTTGCCATCCTTGTTTCAACCTTCCACTACTACAGAACCCCTTCTGCCATTGACCAGGTTGGTGTGCTTGATCTTCCATTTTGCTTTGGATTTTGGAACTTGTTATGGCATGTTGGGCTTGTTTTTTTGACATTTCTGATTTCTGCATCATATGCTTCTAATCTAATTGTTGTGTCTAATTTTCCTAATTAGGATTTTGTATATATTGACTATTGTTTATTGCTCATCAGGAAACCTTTGCTGAGTATACAGCCAGGACAGCATTTGAACGGCCATTACTCAGTGGGGTGGCCTATGCACAAAGAGTTGTTAACTCAGAGAGAGAAACATTTGAAAAGCAACATGGATGGGTTATAAAGACAATGGAAAGAGACCCTTCTCAGGTTAGAGACGAGTATGCACCGGTGATATTTGCACAAGAAACTCTCGCTTACCTTGAATCTCTTGATATGATGTCCGGGGAGGTAAACTACAAACCTTGTTAACATTGTTTCTGCTTATCTTATCAGTCTTTAACTTTTTAACTGTAATAAAATATCTCATTCGAATTATGCAGGAGGACCGAGAGAATATTTTGAGGGCTAGGGCAACTGGGAAAGCTGTTCTCACTAGTCCTTTCAGGCTGTTGGGTTCTCATCATCTTGGTGTGGTTTTAACATTTCCTGTTTATAAGTCTAAGCTCCCTCCAAAGCCAACGATGCAAGAGCGCATTAAAGCAACAGCAGGGTATGTCCTCGTTTCATTCCTTTCTGGCTTGTCAAGTTTGTTTCCACAATGTTTTGGTGATTTTTGTCTTTGTGGCTCATATGAGTGACAAGAGGACGAGGGGCGGTTAAAAGCTTAGGTGCATTATCGCGTGAATGATGCATTTTGAAAAGCATTGGTGGATAGTTGCATGTCATTTTATCATGATAAAAGACAGACTTCACTCTGGCTATTGTGTCCTTTACTGCTACATTGTTTGTACTGTATATCGAAAGATGTAATAGCCATTTCTGTTTCATTTCCATTGTAATTGTTACTTTTGTGCTACCAGTCTTTTGTTATTGTTTGATTTCATAGTTGCTTTCTATATAATACCTGTAGGATAAGTTGGATAACTTTGTAGTTCAATCTGATGCCTTTATGTTTTGCGTAAGCTTCTTAATGCCATGATTTGTTCAATAAACTTTTTAATTGGAAGCAGATATGTTGGAGGATCCTTTGATGTTGAGACCCTCGTGGAGAATTTACTTGGTCAACTTGCTGGCAACCAAGCAATTTTGGTTAACGTATTTGATATCACAAACTCTACGGATCCCTTAATCATGTATGGCAACCAAAATGAAGAAGGCGATAAGTCTCTTATCCATGAAAGTAAGCTTGATTTTGGAGATCCATACAGGAAACATACAATGATATGTAGGTAGGTGCTTCTGGCTGTTGCATAGTTTCTGAAAGAAGGTTCAATGTTTAGTTAGCACATGCTTATCATCAAGTGTTTGAACAGGTATCACCAGAAGGCACCAACAAATTGGATAGCACTTACCACAGCATTCTTATTCTTTGTGATTCTTTTTTTAGTGGGTTATATCTTATATGGTGCTGGAAATCATATTGTCAAAGTAGAGGATGATTTTCATGCAATGGAGGTATTAAAAGTCCGAGCAGAAGCAGCTGATGTTGCCAAGTCACAGGTGCTTTTCCTGGCATATTGTTAGCATGGTTCATTAGTACCTTTGATTGATTACTCACTGGCCACTAAAACTGATTTTTTTTGAATGTCAGTTTCTAGCTACTGTCTCTCATGAAATTAGAACACCCATGAATGGCATTTTAGGTAACTTCAAGATTCTCTATCCCCCCTTAAAAAGTAACATTCTTTTGATACCTTCCACTTTCTCATTTGTGATGCTATCATTAAACTCCATAATCATATTACTGTAGGAATGCTTGGTCTGCTTCTAAAAACAGAATTGAGTTCAACTCAACTAGATTATGCTCAGACTGCTCAAGCATGTGGGAAGGCTCTGATAGCATTAATAAATGAGGTGCTTGACCGAGCTAAAATTGAAGCTGGCAAGTTAGAGTTGGAAGCAGTTCCATTTGACCTTCGATCCATACTTGATGATGTCCTTTCTCTTTTTTCTCAGAAGTCTCGGAAAAAAGGTTTAGAGGTATGTCTAGTTGTTGCCAAACAGATTGTGAAGGCCTGAAGGTCATTTTGGTTTATATGAGTTGTAGAATTTCATAATTCTATTTCTTATTTCCTTAACCATTGATCCTATTTCATTTTCCTCTGTTTCACCCTTCTGGGTTCCTATTCACACTTGTTCTGGCGTGGACTAAATATGGTGTTGGGAAGTATAGCTGGCAGTGTTTGTTTCTGATAAAGTTCCAGACATAGTAATGGGAGATCCTGGGAGATTCAGACAAATAGTAACAAATCTTGTTGGCAACTCTGTTAAAGTAATTGAAAATTTTCAAAGTTAAATCCTCTAATGTTATGTGCATACATTTCCTATATTGTTTCCAGTAATTTATTAGAGAGGTACTACTTTTTGATAACATTACCAATTATTATCTTGCAGTTTACTGAGAGAGGACATATATTTGTGAAAGTCCATGTAGCTGAAAAAAGGATGTCCACAATCAATGGAAAAATGGAGACTTTTCTAAATGGAGGATCAGATGAAGTTGTGCATATGTCTAGTGGTTACAATTTCAAAACTTTAAGTGGATATGAAGCAGCTGATGAAAGGAACATCTGGGATAATTTTAAGCATCTAATTGCTGATGAAGAATTTTTCATTGATGCCTCAGTTAAAAAAGTAGCCTCCAATGAATATTCTGAGCAAGTCACCTTGGTAGTCAGTGTAGAGGACACTGGTATTGGAATTCCTGTGTCTGCGCAAGATAGGATTTTTATGCCTTTTGTTCAGGCCGATAGCTCAACTTCTAGACATTATGGTGGTACTGGCATTGGTTTAAGTATTAGTAAGTGTTTGGTTGAACTAATGGGTGGTGAGATAAGTTTCATAAGCCGCCCGCAGGTTGGGAGCACATTTTCATTTACTGCAGATTTCGGAACGGTTAAGAAAAATTCAATAACTGACATGAAGAAACACAATTTGGAAGAACTGTCTTCAGGTTATAGAGGGCTTAAAGCCATAGTGGTTGATGGAAAACCTGTTAGAGCAGCTGTTACTGGATACCATTTGAAGAGACTAGGGATACAGGCTAAAGTTGCAAATAACATCTATAAGGCTGTTTCTTTATGTGGGAAAAATGGCTCTTTGACTTCGGGGTAAGATTTGAATTCCCGTGTTGGTGTCAATTATGAAGAAACTGAATTTCATAATAAACAAGCGCAGTATCAACATTTTAGTAATTATTGTTAACATATCTTTATGAATTATGAACTAATTCATGATTTTTGCAATACAGTAAAATGCATTTTCTGTCATTAAACCAGGGAGAATATCCAGCTAGCATCTCACCAGATTTTTATGGTTTTTCATATATATGTAGCATAGTCTTGTCTTAATAAAATGCTAAGTTGCGATATGATTTTTTTCCCTTGGAGGAGAAATTATTAGGTGGTTCTGGATTATTATGGATTTCCATTAATCTTCATATGACACATAATTGAGTGTTATCAACTATTTCTTATAACTGAAGACTTGAATACATGTCATGCAGAATTATTCTTAGTTCTACTTAATGAAGAAATTGCATTGACGGGTTCTTTTTAATTACTTGAAGATATTGATTGTGTTTTTTTAGTGAATAATTGTTGTTCTAAATACTAGTTTAGTTTGAACATCCTCATGACATGTTGATGACTTGTCTATTTAGACCTTAAATGAAAAATAATATGCTGGTCTGTAGAAACCATTTGAAGATGTGGAATAAAATAGCTTTTGTTTATGTCTGTGCGGTTCAGTTCATTCACCGAGTTAAACTTCTTGGCTGTGGCAGATTATTTCAGCCGGATATTATTTTTGTTGAGAAAGATTCATGGGTTTGTGGAGAGGATGGGAGCTTCAATGTGTGGCAACTGGACTGGAAACAGAATGGACACATGTTTAAGATACCTCAAATGATCCTTCTTGCGACCAAAATTGACAATGCTGAATATGATAAAGTTAAAGCTGCAGGTTTCAGTGATACTGTGATCATGAAGCCTCTAAGAGCTAGCATGGTGGCTGCTTGTCTTCAGCAAGTTCTGGGAACGGGGAAGAAGAGGCAGCTAGGGGAAGACATGAAGCCTAATGGTTCATCTTTTGTACGAAACTTGCTTTGTGGAAGAAAAATCTTAGTGGTTGATGACAATGTTGTAAACCGGAGGGTCGCTGCAGGTGCATTGAAAAATTTTGGAGCTGATGTCAAATGTGCTGACAGTGGCAAAGCTGCTCTTGAAATGCTTCAGTTGCCTCACAGTTTTGATGCTTGCTTCATGGATATTCAAATGCCAGAAATGGACGGGTACGTTTGTTTGCATCAATTATCTTATCTCACTTCTTTTCTTCCTATCTCTGTTGTACAATTTTTTGTATAAAATTTACGTAACATGCATGAGCAAGAATTGTCAACGAGGAACCATGTTAGAAGATATCAACGAGATTCAGCACAATTGCTAGTAGTTTTGGGTCCTCCCCAAGCATGTTTTGAGGAGTTTGATTCAAGTCATGTGTATGAAGAACATTTTCTTGGGAGAGACAAAATTCATTTCAATGATAACTACGCCTAGAAAGAAATGAGTCTCTGAGTATTGATTGAAAGATATCTTTGGTGCAAACCAAAATACAATGTTAGAAGATTTGAAATAGAACATTAATTACTCCATGGAAAATTTATTGTGCTAGATGCCATCCACAACCAGAACTTTGAAAGGAGATTTGAAATGTGTTGGGTCTACTATCGCATTATAAAATGATAATTTCCTAAGTTTTTGTATATTATATTCTCTGAAGACTTAGTATTCCGTATGATGAACTTTTCTTGCCATTATGACCACCTCATATGGGATGGATTTGATAAAGCATCTAACAAGGATCATAACATTTGCAGGTTTGAAGCAACTCGGCGCATTCGGACGATGGAGAGAAGGGCAAATGAGCAACAGATAAATGGTGAAGGAAGTGGCTGGAAAAATGAGTACCATATACCTATATTGGCCATGACAGCTGATGTAATTCAGGCAACATACGATGAGTGTGTAAAATGTGGCATGGACGGGTATGTATCAAAGCCTTTTGAGGAAGAGAATCTGTATCAAGCAGTTGCAAAGTTTTTCAACCCCAAGCCTTCCTCGGACTCACTACAGAATGGCACTACTTAATTCACTACCGGCATTTTTCATAGTTTGCTGGTAATTTTGATGCAGAAAGTAGGATCAGTTGGTTTTTAAGATATCTGAGGATATGCATGCATGCAACTTGATACAGGCATATGCAGTGATCATTTCTAACCAGCTGAACATGATTTCGATCTCAGTAAATGTATACCACTAGCCCCAACTTGTGTACAGATTCTCCCACGGGATGAGGAAAATCATGTAAATTCAATATTTTTTTATTTTCCTTTTGCATCTTGATACTTCCCTATGTGAAGGGTTCCACTATAGTTTCTCTATTTTTTTCGTCTTATCCTTTTTTCTGTAAAATTGTCTCTTATAAGATTTGGTTAGTTACTACATGAAGAAGTAAAATGATTGGTGCTTAATGCCTACACCTATTGGCTGACTGCTCGTACACCTTTTTTTTTTTTTAACCTTGATATCCGTACAAAATAAATATTCTCTATCAAGAGTAGTAATTAATCTGTTAAAGATTATGAATGTATATAAAGTAAATATTTTCTTTTTAACGTAATTTATTTAATATTCAATATCAAGAATTGAACTTGAATTAGTTGGTTAAGAAATACAAGGTATTATTACTTGTGTCAATCAATGATAATTTTTTATATTTTTTTAATTCATTTTTTTTAATTGAAATGCATTGAGGTCATAGTAAACTAAAATATTAACGTAATAAAATTATTCATCTCTTATCAAATTTGTTAATATTGAGAGAAATTTAAATTTTACTTATTTTTAATCATTAAAAAAGGTTATTTGTTATGTATTTATGCATCAAAGTTTAATAATGTTGAATGTGAAGAGATGTGATTAATTAGGATGTTGATGAGTATATGATTTGGTCATATTTTATATAGTCAAAAATATTTGGAAAAAATATGATTAGTCATTAGAAATTGACTCATAGTAAAGTAAAAATAATTAATTTAAAAGGTTATTTAGTTTAAATTTAATCATGCTAAAAAGGAAAGTTCAGAAAGTGATAAGTTGGAGTGAAAATAAGTTGTTTTAAGAGTAAATTGAAATTTCTGTATTCATTTTATTGATAAGTTGGTAATATTTTATGATTAATTAGAATATTAATATATGAGTACATTATATGTTCATATTTTGTACAATAAAAAATATTTGAAAAAATATGTTTAGTCATTAAAAATGAACTAATAGTGAGAGGTATAGATAATTTATGTATATTCATTTAGTTTAACCTTAATTATATATTATACTAAAAATAAAAGTTGTTGTAGAGTTATAAGTTGGAGTAAAAATACTTATTAAAAAAATTATTAATAATTAAAATAATTTTATATTAAATTATTTATTACAAAATAATCTTTTTTGTCTTGCTAAAATATTAGTTAGATATTAAAATCACAATGTATTAGAAAAGTGGTCGTTTTATGTAAATATTACGTATATATTTTTCAAAAAAATATTATATGATTTATGGTATTAGAAAGGCTTTTTTAAAAAAATCGAATGAATCCGAAAAGCTAGATAGGCTAAAATACTAATCCACACCTGAATTAGCCCAAACTAAAAATGTAGTAGCAGACGACCCAATTGAACTGCTCTAGGAAAAATGGAGAAAGGGAATATTTTATTTTATTTTATTTAGAATAGATATATATATATACAAGTAAATAAAAAGTGGTAAAAAAAATTGTGAAACTATATGTGTATTGTATTAGTAAAAAAAAAAAAAAAAGGAAAAGAGAAAATGTTTAGTTCGTGAAAGATCTGCAGGTAGGTTTAAGATGGTGACGTGGCTATCGCAGAAGCAATGTGAAGAGACATTTGTCAAGAGTTGGTAGCAGGCACAGTGACGTGGCACCTGAACCGTTTCCATATATACTATGGTTTATAATTATATCATATGACTAAACGAAAACTTAGAATAAGAATGGCACATTATCAGAACCAGTACGGTGCTGTTCCTGCTAGTGCTGCCAAGGATCCAATTCAGAAGGAAATGGAGACTGCCGGAGACACCACCGGCGTCGGAGTTGGTGGCGGCGGTGGTGGCCCTACACAAGTCATAGCTGAAGATTATGAGAAGGAGAAGCATCATGATCATCATCATGGTCATGGGCATGGTCATGGTCATGGTGATGATCATCATGATGGTGATGATCATAGTCATGAGAAGAAGGGAATATTGGAGAAAATTAAGGAGAAGCTTCCTGGGAGTGGAACTCAGCACAAGCCACAACAATAACTCAATAAGTAGCAATACCAATAATGTAAATGTTTTTACTATATAACTATGCATGTATGTGTCCTTCTTCTTTGCTACTACACTGCTATCTAATAAAGATTATGCTTCACCTTCACCCTTTGCTTAGTTAATTCTTCATCTTTCTTTATACGTTTCATCCCTTCCAATTAAACTCTATTTTCCATTTGAAGGACCAGAGGTTGGCTAGAACTAGAACTCTACTTTTCAGCATGGCACCAAAATATTCATTCAATTAATTTAATTTTTCATGCCACGTAATACTTCCTTTCATATAAATATAAACTAAGAAATGTAATTAGTGTTTTATGTTTTATATTGATTAAATATTTAATTCATATTCCAAACTGATCGGGGGAAATTGGTTAAATATCACATGGGAGTAATTAACATAACTTTTTACTATATTTTTAATTTTAAACATAAGTAGTATTCAAAAAAGTTCCCAAATAGCATTATTAAAATTAGCAAGGCACTCTGTGCCTGCATTTTATTAAAAGGAAAAAAAAAGAATAAATAAAAAAAAATTGAAAAGTTACTCATTAAAAAAATAGTTATTACAAAATAAATAAAAAATAAAATGATCTATTTAAAAATAAAAACTAAAACAATTATTAAAAGTGGTATTTCCTATATATATATATATATATATATATTAGTATAAATACAAATTATGTATATAAAATCAACGAAAAAAATAAATAGGGAAAAAATAATAAACTAATTAAATGAGTAAAAGTTTGAGAGAAAAACTATAAGAATGTTTGAGAGAAAAAAGTATTAAATTGAGCAGGAAAGTAATGGAAAAATATACAACAGGTAAAAAAATAAACGTAAAAAATCATAAAAATAATATTAAAAATTATTTAAATGAGTAAAAAAAATTATGGAAAATGAGAAAATAATTTATACTAGTAAAAAAATTTATATACAAATGAGCAAATAAAATGATGGAAATGTGAAGGGAAACATCATTTAAATTTATAAAAAGAAATAGAAAAAAAAATCATGTGAATGGATAAAAACTATCGAAAAATTAGATTTTGAAGAAAGTTCTCAGTTATAATGTGCAAATAATTATTAAATATTTATAATTTTTAGATAAATAATAAAAAATATTTTCATCGTTAATTAGTTTTAATTGTTATATTTTGCAAACATAGTTATTGTAATAGTACTAATTATTATATTATAATATATTGTTTTATAATATCATAATGTATATAATTTTATTATTATATAATTTACATAATAATGACAATATATTACATAATGTGGTAGTCGAAATTTTAAATTATTTATATTAGTAAAAAAAAATAATTATATACTAATGAGAAAATAAATTATAGTCGAAATAAATTGAAAACAATGATAGAACCATAAAAATTTTCCACTTTTTATTCTCTTACCTAACGTCTTAACTTATTAAAATTATTTTTAACTTTTTAATGTGAATTCCATTGTCATTTCTTTTTCGTTTACAATAAATGTAATGCAATATTTAAAAAATTAAGTCAAGACCATGAATGGTTGCATTTCACACTTCTTCATCAGTACTTCAGCAATATAACTTTCATTAAAAAATATTGTACCATACAACTTGATTAAAAAAAATTGACTAACTATCAGTTTGCTTTGGCGTTGTCTTAATTTTAATGTACGTCTTTTAGAAGTTTTATTTTATTTTTTATTTTATTTTATTTTATTTATCATTCGAATGGTTTGACGAATCTAGATTCATGGGTTGACATGGTTTCAGTTTCAATTGTGCTCTTTAAAAGTCATTTCGAAGACCTTAAAAACAAAAATTATGGTAGACCATGAATGTAGAATATATAAACAAGTATTTAACACTTCTTTGTATTGTAGATCTCTAATTATTTTTTATGTGAATTTCTTTTTTAATACTTAAATTCAAATCTAACTGAAAATAGACCGCACAATAACCTTTCTAAGTGATGTTAATGTGTATATTTATGTAAGAATCCCTCAGCATCTGCACCCATATTTTTCTCATGCGTCCAAAAGTGAAGACACCCAATTCGGTCTGTAATTTGTGGCGGAAAAGTTCGATAACAGAGTTCATTATTTTAAGCATGTCTGTTTCAATACAAGTTACTACGGAATTCCATTTCATTATTGTATTTTCTATTTACCAAAAATCATTCCGTTTTCTACACAATTAATGAATATCAACTAGTTTTAGAATAGTATATTACCCAATTCGGTCATATCACGTATATTTTTCTTTTTAGTATTAAATCTTTGTTCTTATATACAGTTTTTAGTATTCATCCAACTTTGATGAGCTTTATTTTGTAATGTGAATGTGGCGTTTTCAATATATGAAAATGTTTAGTATATAGGTAGAACACAAGTCACAGCAGACAAACGACAAAGAATATGTTCGTGTATTAGTTATTGAAAAATGACTATCAACCATTAAAGTATAACATGGTTGATAATAGATAATTTTGTTCTTTAAAGTCATTCTTTAAATAAATCACAATAATTCGAAAAATTAATACTTAGCTTCCGGTTAGAAGATACCCTATTTACCAAAAAAATTACCACCACAATAGTAAGTCATCTTTGTAAATCAGGTAATAACTGTGTTTTTATACCATTTTCATACAACATACTAGATAATAAAATAAAAATTCCTCATTAAAATGCATTCCCTTTATCTTTACTTCGCTATGTAAGAAAAGTGTCAAAAGTGCATATGAATTTCGATGAGAAAAGAACCAGAAGTCCGAAGTAGTAATAGAAAACAATAGAGGCAGTGAACCAGAAAAGGAAGAGGAATACGACAATTCGCTGAGAAAACATTTCGAGTTTAGAAGATGATAGAGTTGACTATATAAACACAACATGAAAGCAGTAGTTTTCTTTTGACAAGTGTTAATATAGCACGTCCGACTTAAAAATGAAAATAAAAGAATGAAGTTATCAATATTCTAAATATAGTATTTGCAATAAACATTTTCAATTCATTGATTCTTTAGGAACTGCTTTTAGAATAGAGTAATCCTTAGTGCTTGTAGTTACAATTAATTGAAAACTTATAATGTATTAAAATTACAAGGCAGTGTTAAAATCATTATATTACAATCAAGTTACCCACTAATATCTGATATATGCATTACGTCAATGAAACAAGAGATGTACTTTTATAAATTGACCAAATTTAACCCAATTCCTTCTGATTGCACGACTACCCATAACCATTAATATTAACAAGAGACGTGAGCATGAACTCTATCAGAAATTCGTGATTGCTAGCTTATAAAAGTAAAACACGAAAGATTAACAACTTTTTAAAGAGAAAGAAACTCTTTAACAGTGTCACTACCCTACAAATAGAATCCTTGGCCTCCATTTGGTGACCACAAATTGGACAAGTTCAAAAACAAATCGGATACGATAAAATGAACACATTAACACAGCAGATTGGCCGCACGCCGCTTCTGCGCCCCACTTTCAAAATATTTAGTAAGAATCAGATCACATATTAAGTACATAATTGGAGCAAAGACCACAACCAGTGCATTAAGTATAAAAATGAAATTCCAAGCCCCATAACTCGACTTCAAGTGGGTCTCACAGAGCACAAGACTTTAACCATTCAGGTAGCTACTCTCCTCGGAATACCCAATTTTCGTAAGCACCATCATATATATTTGAACTATTCGAATCACGAACAAACTCATGAGGTGTATTCAAACGGTTGAGGAGGTTGAGGTTCCTCGTCCACCGCCATAGCTGATGAAGAACTCTGCAATCCTGTTGCTGACCCACCAGCAGCCGACGTGGTAGATGAGGGTGTATCGGTTAAAGCAAGCACTTCTGGCTCAGTAGGACGCAAGTCTTTCAGAAGCACAAATCCTGAAGGTGCCAACTTAACTGGAACGTATCTGCTATCCTGCAAAAACTTGATAAACTTCTCCTGCGCAGGAACCACCCTTGCAGGATTAGTCAGAATCTCAAAAGATGCCTCGGGCTCTGATTTCTTCTCCGTTGTTGGGCTATCAACCTTCAAAAAAATTAAATTTGAAAAAAGTCATCAAACATAAAAACACGGGATGTGACAACTCATAAGCTAACAAAATATTGTAATCAATACTTCGTGTAAATATCAATTTTGTATTAAAGAAAAATTTCTACTATAAATTCCCACACGCAAAAATAAAATAAATAACAGCCAACAGCTTTCGGGGACTGTTTGAAATCCAGATCAAATCACAGCCAAGTTACTTTAACTAGCAATTTAGCTACCTTCCCCCTCCTTACATGCATACCAAGTCTTAGACCTACTTTATAACCACCAAAAAATATAACATCAGTAACACAACTGCAATCCACAATCACTATTCCATCTACTTCAAAATAGACATAATATTAGTCATATAAACTAAAAAATAGCAACATATAATTTAGAGCAGGGGTAATCGGTACCCACCATGCGAACCTTACCCTTTCCTTCCTATGTTCCAAGTCTTTTAAATAGTGCCTCGAATTCAAAAAGATCCAAGGAAAGCTTTCATTAATTAATAAAAAAAAAACGCATTACCTGCATTGAGTCTCCATCCTTCTCAACAGATGACTTTCCTTTTCCACCACTAGGTGCAGCTGATGTAGAGTCAGGAGCAGATGAAACTTCAGCATTTGCCTTCTGTTCTTCAGCTTTCTTATTAGCCCTAGCTTTAGCCTTAGCTGATGTTGACAGAACAGCAGTGGGAAGTTTCACAGTTGAAGTAGTGGTTGGAACAGTAGTAGGCTTAGGGTATTCAAAAAGTGAAGGCTTTGCATGTGACAAGAACTCAAACTTCGGAGATTTCAGATCATAGTTCAAACCAATAAAAGCCGTGGGTGAAAAGGCCAAGCTTATAAAATAGATCAGAGGGTACCAATACCAAAACTGGCTGAAAACTGCAAGGCCAACCACTGCAGTAATTTTATCATGTTTTGTCTTAGAAAGT